GCCCGTGCTCGGCGGGACGCGGAGTGCAGCCGCGGCTCCACGGCGCAAACCCGGCCGCCGCTCCTCTCGCCGCCGCCGCTCCGGCCCTTCCCGCGGACGGGAGGCGGCGCCGGGGCGGGACGGGGACACCGGAGCACGGGATCCCACCTGTGTGCTGGGGGTTCCTGCGTGCCGCGGGCAGGAACAGCGTGAGGCTGCTGAAGCGAGCTGGAAATAAAGGAAACGAGTTACAAGGGACAGTAGCCGGAAGGAAAAATAAAATAAAATAAAATAAAATAGTAAAATATGCTAAGAGAGCCTCCACAACCCCCGGGCAATAGAATCTCCAAATAAAGTTACAGGATGCTGACACAGGTTTTAACTATAATCAACCTGCTGCTTAAGCATCTCTTCAGGGCCTTTTCCCTCCCACCTATTGAACTGCATTTCCCTCGGCACATCTACTCAGCGCTGCGGGAACTTACTCTCGCACATGCTAGAGATACATTTTCCAGTTGTGTTCTCTCTGCCCTCAGAAAAGGTCTCTTATCACTTCTCATCACTTCTACTTATCTGAGTGTTTCAGACTTGCTTTGGCATTTGCAAAGCGTTGGGCTGCTCGGGCAGACCCTGAAAGTGTCACTTCTCCGGAGATAACTCTGTGTGTAACGGTGCAGTTGCTCAATTTTGCTGTTATCACAGACGACATTTCCCTTTTTTTGTGGGGTCCAGTGTGATACCACGCAATGAGTGTATTACAGTATCCTAACGTTTTATTGCAAAACTTGTTTCTTGAATTCTAACGAAGTAACAGTTTTCTTTCAAAAAATCTAAATGTACTGGAATAGGATACAGTCTTCCATTACCATTTTTGTTTATTTTTTTTTGTTTTGTTTGTTTGGTTTTTTTTTTTTTTTTGGTTTTTTTTTTTTTTGTTTTTTTTTTTTGTTTTTTTTAATGCCTGAGTGAAATCTCTGGCTTTTAAAGTGGAAGTAACGTTGATTTTGCTGTGGGAAAAATAAATGATATGTGTGCTAAGGTAAATATATTTACAATCATGATTCACTGCATAAAAGCCAAGACAGCCACCACACATCCTTATATTCCACATTACGCATTGGTGTTAAACCTTTTATTTTTGGTGGGTTTTTTTCAGCATGGTCAAAATCTCAGAATACTTGTAGATCAAGTCTTCTGATGATAAGAAAATATATGACAATTGAAGAATTTCAACTGGCCTGTGGAATTTCTTGCAAGAGACGGAGAAGGAGCTTGGCACATCCCACTCCCCAAGGGAGACAAGAGCCTCTTTGTGGCCACTGTAGGCCACTGCAAGGATATCCATGAAATAGGCCTGTTCAATCGTTTAGTCTTCAACAAGTTGTGTTCAAAATGTTTAATAGAAGCTCTGGACTGTTACAATTGCTTTTGGCTGCTAGTGCTTTTTTTTGGCTTTTGCATGTGCTTTGCAAAAAAATAATTCACTACAGGTGTTTGTATGGGCAGTAAGAAAAAATAGCAAATGAATCTTCAGTGGCCAGGTCTGGTATTTTTTGAGTCAAAAGGCACAAGTTGAGCATGGACCTGGAACTCATTTTCTACACATCACATTTTTATCACTTCCACACACTCAAACCAGCTCCCCTTTATGTCAGATGCACAGATACAATGCCAGTGAAATCACGGTATAAATACCAGGCTGGATCATGTATCTTGCTATGCTCTTACTACAAATCCTTTGGAAGGGCTCTGAAATAGCTGCATTAGTGCTGCTGAGGCCATGGCTTATAGAGCTGGACACAGATCATGGGAGAGAGGCTTATGAAGTCCTCCTAAGCTGGCCTGTAATGCATACATGCTTTCATGTCTTGTCTCTCATTATACCTCCTTGCAAGGGATATAAGCAGATACAGATCTAAGTCTGTCTGTCTATCTATCTATCTATCTATCTATCTATCTATCTATCTATCTATCTATCCTCAAGGGTGGGAGGTCAGTTATGCCTCAACACAGAAAGACCTTAAGTTCTAGATATGGAAAGAGTAAAAAGTAAAAATCTTTGTCCTCTGGACATTGAGCCACTCATTCACAGATTTAGCTAGTTAAGTGTGTGACAAGAAGTGGTATGAATCTGAAACTCACTTTATTTTCACAACCCATCCCCTAGATTCAAGCTACCATCTCTCCATCTCAAAATGCTTACCCAAGCTGCCCCCCGTGCTGGCACTCTGCCTATGCACAGCAGTCTCCCACAGGAAGGGATGGGTCCTGGTTTTCTCTTTTGACCCATACCATCCACCTACTTAGTGTTTTATCTCTGTACCATCTGGAGAACATAAAATGAATGTCAATTCCCTTCAAAACCATGGGAGGTATCATTTTTCCTCATTGACATGCAGTTCAAAACATAGCAGACATCCAACCTTCAACACTGCCTTTTTAAGGTATGCCTGGGTATGATCCAGCTCCCTCTCCATCCTCCACAAGAGAGGCCATTTGGCCTGTCCCAGTAGCTCTAGGAAATTCACTCTTTGGTCCTCTGTGACATCTTTTTGTTACATCAGTTGCTCTCAATACCTGAAGAGTTGGTGGCAGCCCTGTATAGATGGGCTTTTTGTGCATCTGTGCCTTAATGTTTTATTCCTTCTTCAGACAGTAGTTGGGGACCAGCTGAGGCCGCAGCTCAGCAGGAATTCCTCCTACCAACACGGTCACAATGGCATGTGCCAGAGGAGAAGACAGCACTCATGTACAGCAACACATTTGGAGTGCAAGGTACAAGGCCAGTGGAAATAACAGCTGTAGCCTGAGGAACACTTGACTTCTTCCTGGAGAGACTGATAAGTAAGAAGTGATTGATCCATATTAAAAAAAAAAGAACCAAACACCAAAAGCTAAAAGACAGCAACAAAAACCAGTAGGAACACTAGCTGAAAGCTAAGGAAAAGAAGACGGAATTAAAAAAAATCTAAGAAGGAAATCCTTTAAACAATCACAAACAGAAGGAAACGTACTGAAATAGAGAAAATAAAATAATTTGATGTATATGGCAGAAATGTTGGGAAGAGGGCAGAAGTCATCATGTACTAAACTTGGTTAGCACTTGTCAGTAGAAAGAACTACATTTCCATTTCATTTTCAGCTGAAGCTGTCACTTCCATAGCAGTGGCACCTGTGTAATCCAAGGATATATGGTATGATAAGAGGTCCTGATTTTTGGAGGCAGTCAATGCCTTAACTCTTGAGAGCCTGAAGCACTGTTCTACTTTTGGCCACTAACTACCAAAGTAGAGGAAAGCAGTAGAGACAGAACACTTGGTGCTTTCAAGATGTTTTTATATTTGATTTCTTTTTTCCTAATTGATACAGTTGTATGCCAGGAACAATTTGTCACTGAGACTGTGGTAACTTAGGATAGAAAGGAAAGATAGTGCAAGGTGAAAGGGGAGATTGCATTGCATTTTGCAGCCACAGCATTTGGAAAGATAGCATCCAGCCAGCAATGGAGTTCATGGCTAAATGCCGAACGTGTTTTGACTCATGAGGATTTGCTGGAACATAAAGAGTTCAGAGAAGTAGCTATGCAGTTTACCTCAGTCTTAAAAGACAGCAATTTTAGAAGTTTGTTAGACTGGAGATTTCAACAGGAACATGGGATTTTCTCTTTAGCTGAGGCCTACAGCAGGTCAAAAGATTTATTCTTAGGATTTAGAAAGATTTAGGGACCCACACCTGTCAGAAAATATTTTGTTATGCCTGGAATAAAATATTTCAGCTCTGAGTTTTCTTAGTCAAGCTGCCTTTATGCTATTGATAATTGCCTGAGCAATTTTTGAAACTCAGTTCAGTGCCTATTGGTGCTTACATATTTTGTAACTGTATCTTCAAAACATTTAAATATTCCTTAATCTCTTTTCCTTTTAGATATCTTAAATATGTATGATTTTATGATTCTCTCCTACTGGATTG